ATGGTACTTGTCGTAACTTCTGTATACAGGTCATTGTTATCTTATATCAGTATTTATAGCATTTACAAAACATTAATATCTGCATGATAAACTTTTTTTTACGTAACAAAATCATTTACACAAGCATTGTGTATTCTGAAACATTTAACTTCACTGTTACTAATTTTAGGTTGTCAACAATAATAATTCCACAATTATGGGGAGATACTATGTACTGATATTAGAGTATACATTAAAGTACCAACAACCTACATCACAATTACTTATACATTTTTATATTCTTTTTGTCATAGTTTTACTGACAGCAAAATGTAAGCACACACAATTTTATTCTGGAAATGGTCAAATATACTGTATCCATACTGTACATTCTCTGCAGGGGCTGATGAACAATCTGCACAAAAAGTAAAAAAAATAATAATCTACATATTCTACATAGACATGACAATATTTCAACTGTTAATGCTCTTGGGTGGGAGCACACATGGTCTGTGGACAGGGTAAGTGATCATAGGTTATAAATGTGGGGACAGAATGGCAAATTATTCCTTTAAATGTGAAATGGTAAAATAGCGATGAAGGCAAAATATCAATATACTTGTCTTTTGGGGTGGGGAAACATTTTCTGTCCTTTTCTTTTGAAAGAACTTGCAGGAGTATGCTAAATAATAAGAAAAAGGCATTACATTTTGCTGATAAGGAGTAGATATAGATTAGATCGTAGATAGAGGTAGATAGGATAGGATAGATAGGATAGATAGATAGATAGATAGTAAGATAAGATGTGCTGTAACATAGAGCACATATAGGTTGGTATACACACACACACAGTGCTCAACGGGTATTCTATTTAGGGCTGCCGTGGCAGACGAGACAAAACTCCTGCCAGTGTTGGCCCTCCTCCACTCTAAGGTCCTGTGTCTGCGACGAGAGTTGAGCAATGAGAGGAGTGGATTGAGGGGGTGATCAGTGCTGTGAACGTTATTTTTGTCAGGACTGAAGCGGAGAGTTCTCTAACAGATGCAAAAGCTTCTCGTCTAATTTCCTCAGGGCTAATGATAAAGGCCTCTATTTTTACGGTTTTGTGTGTGTGTACAACAAAGCACAAAACGTTTGTGAAACAAACATTTCACCTGATCACATTTATCTTAAACCCTGTGATGATCTTTCATCTTTTATTCCTGTCGATCTGTGCTCAGTCAGCTGGATTTATTTGACTCTTGTTATTTACTGTAATACTGGAAGGAATGAAGGCACTTTAAGGTATTTTCCATAACAGTATAAAAAAGTTAAAAATAAAAAAAGTGGTGTAGTGAACAATCACTGAATTTCTGGTTAATATAATGCGTAGTATTGTAGATTTTTTTGTGTAGTTTATTGTTAATATTGTTAATATTTGATCACACCACTGATTAAAATTTTATTTAATATGTGTTGGATAGCAAAGAATGAATTAATGAATCGGTCAGCGTATGAGAGGAAAAACTAAAACGATTCTTTTTTTTTTAAATTAATTATCTTTATTTCATGCATAAATCCCTTAACGCTCTTAAAACCCCTGAAGCCTCTATTGCATATAAAACAATGCTTCATTTTACAGTGTAACATGTGACACTAGACCCTTGCCAGGCTTCTAAAATGTTTTGCATTTAAAAATTATTTAAAAGAATATGTGTGTGTGTTGCTTGTAAAGGGTTTTAGGCTTGAAAATTGTAGAATCATTTCAAATATAATATTTTTATATGCATTTATATTTTATATATTAGGTGTATGTTGGTTGGAAGATTTTTGGATTTTGTAGCAGTGTATGCAATGTTAAATCTAAATGGATCTTTGCTTTTGTGTGTGTGTGTGT